TTCCGATGATGAAAGACAAAAGAAAAAACATCGACGAAATCGAACAACATTTACAACATTTCAACTTCATGAATTAGAACGAGCATTTGAAAAATCTCGTATGTTCATCATTTTAAATGTTTTTTTCTTATATTCTTGTCTATTTTTTTGTGTTTCTCAAAGATTATCCGGATGTCTATAGTAGAGAAGAATTGGCAATGAAAATTAATTTACCAGAAGTACGAGTTCAGGTATATCGTTCAATGATACTTTTTCTTTTTTTTTTATGCACACAACATGCTCTTGTTTTTATTAATATTGATAAATTTTGAATTTTAATATATTGATGTATTTTTTGTAAAATTAGGTGTGGTTTCAAAATCGTCGTGCTAAATGGCGTCGTCAAGAAAAAGCTGAACAAAATCAATTAAAAATTAATCCCGATTTTCCATTAGCAAGTTTACGAGCATCAACAAGTAATAATATTGTAAATACCACCTTGCCAATGGATCCATGGATGGCTGCATCAACATTTACTACTGCCGGTCCATCTTCACTTCACACATTACCAAGTTTTATTAACTCCGCTTATTTTCCGGTGAATAATAATTCAAATTGTTATTCAAATAACAATAACAATGACTGTACATCAATAACAACAACACTATCTTCACAACAACAACAACAAGAAAGATCAATTTCACCGTTATATACAAATAATAACGGAAGCGGTTATAGAAATTCCAGTTCATCGTCAAATTCTCCATTAGATGAAAACGGAAATGATCGTACAGATTCCATTGCACATTTGAGAATAAAAGCTCGAGAATATATGAATCAAATAATTGGAAAAAATTGGCAAGGAGTCTAAATTTATTGTTTGTCGCTAGTTTTTATCTGTTTGTTGCTGCATTTTTGTTTTTGTAACTTGTACATAAATTGTTTGCTTTTTGTTTATTTTCCGATTTTATAAAGTGCTCAAGATCATACAGCAGAGAATTGATTTTTGTTGAGAAGAAGATGGAGAAGACAAAGATAAAAGTATCGTGAATTGATGCTACTTCTTTCAGTTTTCTTCAAAGGTCAAGATATAATGATATAAAATCATTATTCTAGAAACTCGAATTAATTTATAGAAACATATAGCCTATGTTCATGAATGGCAATATTCTCTATCAATTTCAGGATTTTCTCATATGATTTACTGTCAAATAAGTGAATATATGTACAGTTTTAAAACAGTCCATACATGGATAACTGTGAAAATTATAAAAAGAGCTATATTAATTCAATCAGGTACGTTAGACATCAGTACAAAATAATTCATATCTTGTAAACAGGTCAAATATTCAAATTTGGCAAGCGGTTATTTTAACATTTACTAGTGATTTATTCAATAATTCTCATGTCATACGTATTTCTTGTTATCATTGTTCCTGCTATGTTTCTTTATCTCTTTCATTTCTCTCACATTGATTTTAATCTCTATTCTTTCATTCGAAGAAAATTAATTATAATTGGTTGTCATTTTCTGCTTGAATGCCTTTATAGAGACATTACTTAATGTAGTATCCCTACCTGATACACATATTCATATTATCGTGACAAAACGTTTAGGTTTTTTTGTTCAAAATATGTCTCAAATGATCATCATCATCGTTATACATAACACATTCCGATTAATTGTTTGATATTACTACATCATCATTATTATTCCTCTAACCGCAACGTTGAATGAATGAATGACGATGATTGTTCATTTCGTTTCTTTTTTATTGTTTCATAATTGATTTCGACAATGATCAATATCGATTGTTATACCAATAGAAAACGATAGAGAGAGAGAGAAAGAGAGAGAGTAAGAGAGAGAACGCTTATCTAATCTTCAGCATGCAAAATATATTTTGTGAAAACAATAGATACACCACCTTTTCAACACATAAGCACAATTGACGTGTACATCATCATCCCTCGTAGGTTTTGTTGCCCTTCAGGTAAAAAAGACAAACACAATATTCTCACATTAGTATATGTCAAATTAATAAATACTTTATACTTTTAAAAACGAATAATCATTATCAGAAAATTCCAAGTAAAAGAAGACAATTTAAATTAATTAATAAATAGTACTCATGCACAATAAGACAGTTTTCTAGCGCATATAATCTAATCTTCGATGAATGTTTTCTGTCTGTCATCTCTAATCTAAATTGTTTTAAACTATTTCTAAATATGTCTGAGAATATAGAATAAATAAAAAATTTAGTTTTAATTTAAATTTACATCAGTTATCTATAGGTCAGATAGAGTTTTCTGTTCTCTACAAAGTCTGAAAAGATCGAGGTAGTCTGATCTAATTTCTTTGTCGTCTGATTTGATTCTATTGTCTGTCAGTCAAATCGTCTTCAAATAAATTGAAGGAATTCCTTTGTGTTTTGAAAGTGATTTGTGTAAAATCGTTGTTTTTCTTTCTTGAGGCCTTGTTCATCTACTTCACGAAGTTTCTATCAAAATCTCACTTTATCACGTAATCAAAGAGAATAGGTATCTTCTTTGATGTTTACAATAATAGCTAGCAGAGAACAAGCAGTTCAATAGTGGAAAATTCATATTTCTCTAGTCCTTATCTGCATCATCCGAATACTCAGATATTCTTATAAATGTAGCATACTCACTCAGCTAATATTCTTTTTTTTTAACAAATGTAAAATTGTGTGAATTTGATCCTACTCAACGTTGAAAAAGTGTTTTCAAAAGCAAAACACTCAGCTAAAAATGATTAGCATAATAATGAAAAACAACAGCTAAGAAAGACTTCTTTCCACTTTCCGTTCCGAATTCGAATTCGCATAAAAAAACAACTTCGAAATCGATAAAAATGAATCCACAGAACTAGTGGAATGTATACTAAACAAGAAAAATGCAAAGATTACAGCAGACAAATTTTCTCATGTAAACTAACGGAAAAACATCCACAGCGTCACACAAAAGTATGCAACGCCTTTAACTCAACAATTATGATAGTTAACAACTTTTTACGTTTACATGAAGATATTTCCAAAATTAAAGATCAATGATCTATTTACATTCATTGAGAAAAGGTGATTTTCAACTGTCTTTTGCTTGGAAATGATGCTCGACTCGCGTGTATATGCTTTTGTGAAGAGCCTGTTATACACTCTTAGAACAGATTTTACTTTGGTGATTACTTCATAGACAGGCACTCATTACTTTGCTCAACAGAAACACTTAATTTGTTAGTTATATCTCTCAAAGGCCTTTATTACCTGATGATGAATTTGAATGAATAATCAACAGACGTTAAAAAGATTTTAGTTCACGTTAAAAATATGTTTTAACTCTAAATGATGGATATGTTTTTCAAAATGTATAGGTCAATATGTCGAAACTGATTATTAATCATAAAAAGCCGTTAGTTTTTCGACCAGTAGACCATAACACGAAAGAAAAACCTTAGATAGGTACGAAAACAAAAATTTTCATTCTCGTTGAATGAGAAGTTGTTAGCATATTATTGATAACAATGAAACCGATATTAATCCGAGCGACTATCCAGTCTAAGAGGATGAAACCTGCACATTTCAACAATTTAGATGTATTTTATCATAATCTATAAACATGATAAACTTTTAGGTCTCAACGTCTGGTTTAAACCAGTTGCGCAGTGAATAAAAACGATTTGTAGATAGAGAATAGGAAACTTTTTCTTGAATTATATCTGTCAGAAGTTATATTCAGTAGAAAAAGTTATAAGTGGAATTAGATAGTTTGATTGATATTGATATATCCATGATGAGATAGCCAATTGAAGCAGAGTAAAATGCTAATCTTAGTCAATCGTTCACTTCTACTAGAGACAGCAGTTAATAATATATTAAATATAAGTAGTAGAATTTTTATGGCGTTTTTGTTCAAAAATTAAAGATCGATCGATGGATATTTTGTTCGTTCTTTCTTCACTATATTGTGATTTATCTATGTTCGGTAATGAATTTTTCTCGAAAATTTACTAGATGTAGTCAATAATATTTGTATTTTAGACTAAAATCATTTACAACTTCAATGTGGAATCAAATGCTAAGTTATTAATAGAAATAAAGTGTAAAATTTCTGACGATAGCAAAAATTGTTGACGTCAGACAAATGATCATCATTTAATAATAGTACAATCAATTTTTAAACAATACTAAGTAAAGTATTGTTTTTTTAATATCGAATTAATAGTACTGGAAAAGCTCCTACGGGACCACCCTCACAGAGTATCCAATTTGGGATCCGACGAAATGAAGCGTTTTTTCCTAGAATGGAACCTCTCGTATGTGACTACCTTCACATTTTGATCAGTGATCACTTTTTTTCAATCTCAAGCGCAAGAAAGTCTCTCTGTAGTGACTAGTTGATAAAGATGAATCATTATGGTGCACCCAAACATAGAAACATAGAGATGATGCAACGACTTCATTTGTTTTTGCATCGTATACTCAACCTTGATTCCATGCAATCGTCACTAAACTCGAGTCAAAAGTAATAGATACCTGCCCTAGTCGAGACTCCCGGCAAAACTCCAACGGGAGTCCCAAGTT